GGTGCTCTGCGCTCAAAGCGCGCACGCACAAGTCATCGCTGCGTAAGTAATTCAGAGGATATATTACCAATAACCAATAAGTAATTAATCAATAATCGATGAGCAATAAAGTCTGTGTAATTTCACAACAATATGGCACATTTTAAGAAAAGTGGTATTTTATATCAAATTCAAACTTTGGAAAGAGCTGGGTGTTTTTTTTAAGAACTGCTCCCAATTTATCAAAGTTAGTTTGCATCTTCTTTGTGTAGAGGAATCGCATTAAGGAGGTCTGTTCAAATGATTAGATTTAAGGACGCCAAGGACAAATCAAGGCAAACAGACAAAATCAAAACACTAGGAGTCAAATAATCCTTGGTTTCATGAACTTGTAATACAGATTACTCATTTACAAAATCAATTGCAATAGTGCTGGATCTGAAACTCAATTTAACTCACAAAACAAGTATTACACATCATATAACTTAGCTCCTAATATTTTAATCAGGTTCTATGAAGTTCCCCGAACGCCTGGCAAGTGTACGGCTGTGTTGTGAACTGGGCCTCCATATTGCGACTGACATTAAACAGTCGTATTGCAATAAATCAACATGTGAAACACGGTGATTAAAACTTTTGAGATAACGAAGACTAATTCACCCCAAAATCATTCATTTCGTCAACGTAACTATCACCTAGCCCAGCGGTAGCAGAGAACATGCATTGTGACATTACAATGTAAAGAAAAAACAAATTTCGCTCATATGAAACTAAAATGTTTGTTTTCAAGCACACATCTATGCACACGATACCCATACCTTGGTGTGCAGGCAGAAAAGGGCTGGTTTATGCGCGTTCACGGCACTGAGTGTGCGTTTGTATACATTCTTTTTGGCTGTGTGCCAATTGTACGGTGCCTCGTAAGAAAACGTCTCACTACATTTGCAATCGTCGACGGGCACGGTACAAGCCAGCTAAACTGATTCACTAGCCACACTGTGGTGAGTTCTTCGTGAGAAACGCAGAGACTTATAGAAACGATCATACGTTTCAACTATTTTATTACTGTCGCTCGGACACAGGTCTGACCAGTTCAGAATCAGAACAACAACTCAACTAACCAAATGTAATTAAGAGTGGCTATTCATACCAGTTTGATTGTTTTTACCAAGAACAGAGAACAAAACACACGATCATAACACTTTGCAGATAATTTCACTATAACTCATACATATTCATGATCGTGAGCCTAACTCTCACTGGTCAATTCACCATCACGTGCCAGATGTTTTTTCTACTACGCATGCGCTTTACAGAGCAATCGAGGAACTTTCGCATTGTCGCCGTACGCACGCGCGAACATCGCCCTAGATACACACGAAAAGGTGGCCGAACAACACGTAAACCAGCGTTTTCCCGAGCTCAATGATCCCAAACTAGAGAATATTGTGGACAATAAAGATGCCTCCGCTACGAAAAAAATTGTCCGCAAGGACTGTGTCTTTGACAGTGCAAATCTCATGTTTCAGACCATGATGAAAAAACTGAAACAGGAAGGCAAGGGTGCTGTCAAACACAAGGAAATTATTTAGAACGAGGATATGGAGAAAATTCAAAACTCTCTTGATCAGAAAACACCACAGAGCCTTCAGAATAAAGTTTTCATTGACATAATGCTGCATATGTCTAACGGAGGTCGTGAGAAGTGAAATGGCCAGAGACGACTTCGAGATTAAAACCGATACTACTAATCAGCGTTATGTCTGTAGAAGCAGTGATCAACTGACAAAAATCATCGTACTGATAGTCATGGAGGTAGAATGTATGAAACACCAGACAGTACACAACGGTGTCCTGTGCTCTCATTAGAGAAGTATGTATCAGTTTTTAACCCAAACTGTGAGGCTTTTTGGCAACGCCCCCCAAAAAAATCGTTGTTGATGGTGATATTTGGTATGACAACATGCCTCTGGGGAAAAACAAGCTCTTCAACAAAATGGCTGAAATATCGCTGCAGGCAAAATGTTCCAAACATTACACCAACCACTGTCTGCGAGCAACAGGTGTCACAATTCTAGATGCTGCTGGATTTGAGGCCCGCCACATCATGATTGTGTCAGGACATCGGTCAGAAACAAGTATCAGAAGTTTCAGCAGAACTGGTAAGGATGAAAAACCCAAATTCTGTCAGCAAAAACTTGCCCAAACGCTAATACCGCTGCAACTTGTTCATTGCAAAGCAGCGCTACAGCTACAGACGAAGATCATCAGGCATCCACTTCAAGTTCAACCACAAATGCGTTTGATGTGCAGTTGCCACATTCTCCACAACTTCAGTTGCTGTCAGGCTCTCAAGAGGAAGCAACTCTGAATGACTTGACAAATTCACCTAACATTGGACACGCCTCAAACATTGGGATTTCTCGCCAGGTTGAACAACAATGAACTTAGCCATGAGGCTTTCAATATTCACCTGCATTCTTGTGTTTCAATGAATCATAACAGATTCAGTCAGTTTTCGTGTTATAAATGCCGAAAAAAAATTAGAAGTTCATGAAAATGTATATATCCAGGCTGCATTTTATTTCACAGGTGTTATTGCAATTCCCTTTACTCCTGATATTGTAATGACAACAGAATATGTATTAGGTATAGTAAAACAAATATAACATGGTTTATTTCGGGTGGACAGTCGATATTCGCTCCCCTCGGTATTGGAAGTTGACAAACTAGTTCCCTCAACTTCGCCTCGGGAACTACTTTGTCAACTTCCAATACCTCGGAAAGCGAATATGGAATGTCCACCCTCAAACCATGTTATTGTGTTTTATACAACACCTGAATAAATTCTCGTCATTTGATTGGTAAATTATAAACTACAATTTATTTTGATTTTAAAGATGTTGAACTACCCCTTCACGAAAATGTTTGAACCCAACGCTGTAGCGCTGGCTCTTTGGAACAATACGCGCTACGCTGAACGCGCACACCAGCATGCATTTTGCACGCAAATACCGCGTCATGGAACGAGCGCAAAGTGAAACGGTATAACGCATGGGTATAACGCATGGTCGCACCGTGCATTATACCGAATAATAATATGTCACGTGATCTACAATTCACCAATCAGATGACGGGGATTTATTCAGGTGTTGTATAATATTCAATAACATGGTTTGAGGGTGGACATTCCATATTCGCTTTCCGAGGTATTGGAAGTTGACAAAGTAGTTCCCGAGGCTTCGCCTCGTGGAATAGAACATTCAATCTGTCACCTCATGAAATTATTCTTACCATCGCACTCACAAACATTCGTTATTTGTATAATATAAGACGGAACAATACAGCGTGCAGCTTAGCGAAAACAATTTCCCACGCTCCGCCACAAGAGTGCACGACCAAGTAAGCAAGGGCGCGTTGTTTACATGCGATTCTGATCGCGCGCACGCAGCGGCAATTCATAATGTGTCATTACTGTTCCAGTCACTGATCTCTATATAAATAGAGATCTGCAGCCGATTTCACGAAACGCTAAGACGCGTCCTAGGAAGGGTAACTCGTCTTAACTCGCGACTCGTCCTAGGATCGATTTCACCAAACTTAAGACGCGTTCAACACGTCCTAACTTCCTTAGCAACGCGGCCGAACTCGTCTCAACTTAGGATCGGTCCGAGGGTCGTCTTATCTCCGCGAACACGTAAAATTTACTGAAATTTACAATGGCGCTTATGCTTCTTGCGGATCGCGAAGCTCGGCGGGCAATAAGGCGAGAAAGGTTATTCCGAGACGGGAGAAATCCAATAGACAGTCTCAATGACGAGGAAATCCTCACGAGATATAGATTCACGAGACATGGGGTATTCCAAGTTCTAGAAAGGGTTGCAGATGAATTGGAGTCCGACACCCGGGTGAGTTAATTAGCATTCAGTAAAATTTTACTAACAGACTTAGGCCTAATTTTGTAGAAAGCGGACAGAAAAATAGTAAGCAACCGTAACAGCCGGGGATGGGATCCGGGAATAAAGCCTGAATAAATTTTGGCATAAGAGAACAAATTATTCAAGTATTAGGGAATTTGTTTCATACCTAACGATTTAACCTATGAAAGCAAGGTTGTTTCAGGGAACATCTCTATATGTTCCTACATTTACGAAGCGTTTATGATTTTAAAAAAGGCCTATATACAGAAAACAATTAAACGGCCGTATAATTATTTCTCAACAATGAATTTATTCTAAACGGACATTTTTTTCTTTGCACATTAACATCCCAGTCAAAAAATGGTCAGAATAAAATCGATACATTACATTTTACATTACATTACACAAAGGCCTAGGCCCTGTTTGATAATGTTTTCAACTGTTAAAAACACACAACTAATCGGATCGTGTTCACAACTGCAAAACTAAATGGCAGATTCCGGAATTAGTTTGCTCCAAATAAGCATTTTTACAAAATACGGAGATTTGTAAAACCTTATTTATAGAAAAGTGACTTTCGTGATTTATTTTGACCATCGCGTTGGGATCCCCATACTGTTACCTTTTTAGGTTAACTTTCCGATTGAGGATTGCTAGGAAGGGATTGTAACCGGGGAGAGTGATTTAAATTAATTCCGAATGGTTCCACTAATTTAAAATAATTTGGGTGGCGCAAAAATTTTTGGTTGTCTCAACAATATCAAAATGTTTTATTTGCAACACAATTATCAGATATTTACAAAAGAATTAAAGTATAAAGAACTTGGGTATATAGAACGACGGTCAAAAGGGAATTGAAGCTGTCTAGATCTATCCAATGATCTGAAATTACAAACAATAAATGACTAATAAATTATGGGAAAGCTTTCAGATCATTAAAGACATCATTAAATTCAGAGTAATTTGGGGAAACACTGTTTTCCTTATTTTTAAATAAAAGAATACTTTTTATGAATACATACATCAGTAAGTGAAAGTTGTTACCATGTTGCCCAAATAGAAGAATTATTCGCAATTAGAAGATTTATTTGCGATGGCAACTTTACCATATAAGACTAAGAATATTGTATATACAATAGTGCAATTTTAATTCCGAAAATAGAAATGAGTTCTTCACCAAATAATGTTATAAAATAATGAAGTAAGAATATATACCATGTTCTAATAACAAATTTCTGGGGGAAAAGGGTAGGCCTATCCCGTTTTTGCAGCTCACAATCATTTTCTAAAAGGTAAACCCGTGTTCTGCACGGAAAATTTTTCGAAATGTTACCCCGATTTAATTTTAAAAACTTGACATTTGAAATATAAATATTCCCCATAGTACTTATGATAAGTCCCAATTTCTGAATCATTGAGCGGTCATACCGATTCGGAAATATTTTGAATTTGTAGGATTGTCTGGGTGCATTTTAGTGAAATTTCAAACGTACGTCGAACTAGAGCAACAAGTATAGAATAGTATTCTTCGCGAACATTCTACAAAATAATTTGTATTTTCAAAAACGCTTTTCATATAGTTAACAATTAAATAAAAAAATCTATGAAAGGGCAAGCAATAATGGCATTGTTTCGTTTCAATATTTTAATCCTTATAAAGAGGAGCAATGCAATATCGCCACTGATGCAACTGCTCACTACCCTGCGGTTCTTCGGTACCGGTGCCTTCTACACCGTTGAAGGTGATCTCCATGATGTCAGCGTCCCGTCCGTCTGTCGCATCGTTCACCGGGTTGCCAACTCCCTCGCAAGATTGACCGATCGCCACATACGATTTCCTGTCGACATACAAGATGTGATGAAGACCAAGCAAGGGTTTTTCGACAAGGCAGGCTTTCCCGGGGTAGTTGGTGCGATAGACTGCACCCACGTACGACTGTACGGAGCACCACTCGGTGATGACGAGCCTCTGCATGTAAACAGAAAAGGTTATCACAGCATTAATGTTCAAGCTGTGTGCAATGCGTCATTTAAGATGACGAATGTCGCCGCACGATGGCCAGGCAGCACCCACGACAGTGCGGTTTTGCACGGGAGCCTTCTCGGAGAAATGTTCGAGAATGGAAGGTTTGTACTAGAAGCTTTAGGCACCTTTGAGAATGAAATAAAGTATGCACGAGTGGTGACCATAATAGGAATCTTTGGAAGTAAAAAATGCAAACAATTCTGTGTAACAAATTTGAAGAAACACGCCATCGGATTTGAACTGTTTACTAGAAACATCAATGATACATAATGATAGGCTCTGATAATATTCAATAAATACATTTAATAAAAAAATCCCCTTAATTTTCAGACTCCAAGGAACGCTGATAGGCGATACCGGCTACGCCCTACGACCGTGGCTGATGACACCTGTCGCTGAACCGACAACAAACGCCGAGAGACGCTACAACAGGTACTTTTATCATTTATAATTATTTGAGACTTGAGTGATTTTTTCCAACTTTCACTCGGGAGGTAACACACTGAGTAAACAGTGTTTAAACGTCGGTGAAGGGCAAAACCTTATTTGATTTATTTGAGACTTGCAGCCAATAAATAATGTACACAGCAAAGAGAAAACAACAAGTAAGGATTCAAACTGTATCAATACATTTAATTCAATTCAACAAAACGTTTGTTTTTTATTGTTATATGTATATTCATGAAATCTGCAAAAACAAATTCAAAACTGGGTACTGCTCGACTTGAGCGATAAATATTGAAAAATGAAAGAAAAGTTTTGCGAATTTCGTAAGAAAGTATGTACACAAACATTACGGATATACATGTAAGGAGGTTAGGAAGGTGATATTTTCTTTATTCGATGCTGTTAATCTAGTGTTCCACCCAACTGATGTTTCATCAGAAAATAGTTCAGTTGGTCAGGCTATTTTTTCAATTTTTGAAACGTTCATGTATGGCACAAAGAGAAATCTATTTACAGCTGATGTTTCATCAGAAAATATTTCAGTTGGTCAGGCTATTTTTTAATTTTTGAAACGTTCATGTATGGCACAAAGAGAAATCTATTTACAGCATGGTTTTAAACAAGACAAACTGAACAACGTATAAAAAAAATAAACCTATTATTTCTTCTTTTTATTGCAGGAGCCACAGAAGAACAAGAGTGACAATTGAACAGGTTTTCGGTCAACTGAAATGCAAATTTCCCTGTTTGTCACTCGGGCTCCGTGTCGCCCCCCGTAGAGCCTGTCAGATCATCAAGGCCTGTTGTGTGCTGCATAACATTGCCAAAGAATTGAGGGAGCCGGAGATAGAGGGAGAGCTGAGAGAGGATGAGGGAAACGATGACATACCCTATGATGGGCACATCCAAGATGGTACGATACAGAGGAACAGAATAATTAATGCATACTTTTGAATACTTTTTATCAATCCCACTTGTTGTTTTACAATTTATCAATCCCTCTATGTTGCATAAATATTTACAGGTTGTTGTTTCCAGTACCAATGAACCCTTATGTTTTTCCAATCCATTCTAATACAGAGTTCCAGTAGAGTAAATCCATTTTATTGATGTCACCAAGTAGCAATCAATTGAAACTGAAAACAGAACCATCCAACATATAATTTAACTGTAAGATTTGTTCATTTATCTTGGTATTTTGGTAACCTATTTTATGTATTAAAATTTCAGCAATCCTACTCACAATGTTTACAGGCACTGAAAATGCTTGTGAATAAGTTTTTACACATTAGAGATGTCGAGTTAATTTTGCACGTTTTTCAAGCCTATAATTAGTTTCTTCAAAATATCTTCATGCAACACAATAGGATTGAATGGATTTAATTCTTTAACTACTTGACAATTTCTTCATAAGTTTCAGTTTAATGATTCTTTAGACCTAAATAATTATAGGGCTCATGCAATGTAACTTGTTTTTATGCAATCCTTCAAAATGCACATTTGTATCCCCTTAAACCTTATATTTAACTTTTGTTTGCCATTTCTAAGGGCATTTTGGTGCCTTTTGATTTTGAGGCTCATACAAATTGCCACATAAAAGCAAAAGTATAATGTCATTTCAGGCAGAGACCTTAATGTTGCATCTAGATCAGCACCAACAGGTGCCCGAATTTGGATACTTTGCTGTTGTAAATTCCTTTTCTGTGGTGGTCCATTGTTGCGTCAGCAAGACAATGAGCAAATTTATCTCAAAGATGTTTCCAATATGCAAATATTTGGGTTCATAATTTGAACAGAACATCCTTCAACTGACAAGTGTCTTCCTGAAATGGCATTATGACAACAGCGCCCTCAGTTGGCCGGAAAAGCTTGGAACATTTTAAATGTTTAAAGAAGTGCAGTTTTCAACAAAATAACCAAAAAGGGATGTCAAATAGTTTTTCTCTTGCCAGTGATATTATATCTTCATGACGATGACGGGGCTACTGTGCAGTGAACTGAGAATGTGGATCGCGACGCTGCTTGACCGGCAATGATAGATGTGAATGTAGCAGAAAGTTGCACAAAATATGTACCTGACAAAAATGCATTGTAATTTTCATGAGCCCTTTAATTAGTTTGATCCCTCAGCAACAGGTTAGAAAGGAACAGTTGGAAGTTGTGGCTGATTTCACCCAGTGAACCTGAAATCTGCCTACTTCCAGCTGCTCCTTAGCAACCTGAAGTCTCTCATGTTCCAGCGCCAGTTTCTGTTTCTCTATCTCCAAGATGGAGTCCACCTTTGTAGTTTTTGTTGTCACTTCCTCTGATTCCTGAACAATTCCTGGATGTGGATGATGTGCTTCCTCTGATGGAGGGGCCGGGTTGGACTCAGCAGGTGCGACTTCACCTAGACTGATGGCTTTAAACAAACAAAACAAAAACAAAACAAAAATGTTTGCTTAAAACTGAATAACATTCATTAAATCAAGAGTCGTTACTAATTGCCAGGAAATATTGAATTACTGTACATACTTTTTCTTTTGTGTAAATAGTTTTGATACAATGTCATTTGTTTGTATTTTCACTGCACAAAAATTTCCTTCAGTGCTGAATTAAACCTAAGTTAATATTACTTGAACAATTTCAGATTCCAAGAGCATTGCCTCTGTGACTTGTATTACTAGGACTCGAGCCAGATTTTTTTTTAAATTGTATGTATTTCCAGTTCATTAAATTAGAGAAAAGCTGTGAAAAATGGAAACATTTACAATGAGAAGTTTTAGCAGTACCTCAATTTTTTTCCCAAACAACTTTTAAAGGCGACTCGCAACTCGGACTCGACCGGAGTCTCTTGTGACTCGGACTCGACCTGCAAGACTTGGGACTTGAGCAGTCCCCTGAAAGCTTGTTTTCCTTTAAAATTGCATCACACGGCCTCCATTTTGTTTTACATTTTAACGAATTTCGACTGAAGATCCAACGACTCTTTGTTGAATATCAAACGACTATTTCAGGCATGCAACTGGGAAATCTCAAAAAAAAAGGAAATTCAAATTTTCCCAGACTTTGTACAGTGTTTTTCTATTTTCAATGGCACACATGTGAAGTAAAAAAAGGGGAAATCAGCTGAACCGAGGAAAAGTTGCATGCCTGCTATTTACTGTACACTGATTAAATACATAAAATAGTCACCAAGTTGTGCTATAAATACACCTTCGACGCGTCACACTTACGACATGTTTTGTGAAATGGATCGCAGGACGCGTTGCAGCAGACGCATCGTAGAGATACGGCACGTCGCAAGCACTGCGATGCATCGTAAGTTATGATGACCTTCATGAAATCGAATGCTTGTATGACTGCACACTAATCAAAACTACTTACTATTTGCCACCATGTCTAGCATCAATTCATCAGCTGTGCTGTCCTCAACTGGTATTGCAGCTGCTGGGTCAGACTCACCATCATCCGCCGACAGGATGCCATCCTTGGCAACTGGTGCAAGTGCATCTAGCACGACTTCGAATGTTGGATTCAGATCCGGTTTTTCTCCTCCACCTTCATAAAAAAAGGAGAAAATCTAGACTTGTAATCATCATGAAACAAATGATGGAAGGGGGAAAAAATACTTTTCATAGAAAAATGTATTAAATTTAATTAAGTTCTAGAATTAAGAAAGCAAAAATTTCCCCTTCAGGCTTTGTATGTTAAACTTCGAAGAAAACCACATGAATGAAGATCCCTTTTTAATTGAAATTTGTATTTTGTCTAAGTTGGAAAGTTTTAGATTCTTTTTGTTTGAACGATTAAAAATGTTAACACCACATGCTTAGTATTATTTGGAAAAAAAGCCAACAATGATGCACATCCAACTTTTTTTAAACGTTATTAGAAACGGCAGTGTTGTTTGGCCTTAACCTTATATTGAGCTGTGACAAACATATATCCATTGCCCATTGAACATCTATTTCACTTCGTCAGATGCCGATGTTGCAAGTACAATGGACCAATTGTACAATTTCCCCTCGACCTTCATAACAGTTTACTGCCATGTTAAGTTATTTTATGTGAGAGGCCTAGCGAGGTCTATAGAAAATTACAAAAGGATGACTATTGGGGTCGAGACTGCATGAAATGAAAAGGAAAGCATGTATTATCCCGTCGCCACTTCTTTGTTTGTGTACAAAGTCTATGGAGAGTTGAGTGCATTTTCAACATATTTTTTTAACGAAATTGGAAATGTCTTCTAGGGCAAAATTCATGCCTATTCAACAGTTTTGCAAGGACTGATCTTCATTGAATAATATGCAATGAAAAAGTGGCGTCAGGATGAAACATTCTTTCTGTAACTGATCCATGGTGTGAGGGCAACATGTACACAGACAATCACAAAACAAATGTACAAACTATGATGTAGGACAATCGCCCCCCCCCCAAAAAAAATATGAATAAATAAATGAAACAAATAAATACAAATTAAAAATAAAATATTAAATAAATGTTTGTTTAACTAAATGAGCTTACCCGTTCTGTTACATTCTCTATGGTATGACCGTGCTTGACTGGTGATGGTTTGCCACTTCTTTCTAACTTTTTTCCATGGTCGATCGACCCCTCCATTTTCCACCAATACTCTCCCTGCCATTTTCCAGTAGTGGATTTTAACCTTTTCCACATTGGCTGTGGATTTGCTGCTCGTGCCCATCAGCTGGTGCTTGTAGGCCCGCACAAATTCGCTCAACACTTTGATTTCTTCGTGAGACCAATTACTGGCCCTAGACCTCCCCGTCCCCCCACTTTCGTTGACGTTCATGCTGCTGCACGTTGCCGTTGGCTCCATGTGTACGTACACAAGTACACGGTACACCACAGACGCATTCGATGTTGCGACTCAAAATGCGTTTTTACAACCCCCAAAAATGACCTCGTTGTGTAACTTGTACAATGCAAAGAACCAAAATTGACCAATTTCCCTAGTTACATATATACTTACGTGTTAAACGAGCTAGCAGACGTTTTTTTTAGCAGACGAATTTTTCACTCCAAAACAACCGCCAATCAGCCATCTTGATTTTACTGCAAGCGCGTGTACATTTCCGACGGCTGTTGCATGAAAATGCCGAAGTTGCATAAAAATGCCAAATCGAACATGATACAGCCGTAGCACGCAAAAGGTCATCCTCGTTCAATAATTAGCGGTTTGTAAAACTGTATTTCGGATGCGTCTTCCTTAAGATGCGTTTGGTGAAATCGATCTGTGGACGCGTCTTAGCTAGGATCGATCTTAGAGGGGGGACCCGTCCTAAGTCCTAAGATAAGTTGTAAGATAAGACGAGTTTCGTGAAATCGGCTGCTGGGGCCGTATTCACAAAACAACTTAAGTCATAAAAAAGTAAGCACCCCACTTAAATATGCAACTTAGTCGTGTCTTAATATTTAAGCCGTATTCACAAAGCAATTTCACTTAGTGCCCCACTTATTTTCATGACTTAAGTCTAAGCGTGCTCGGACCAGTCTTAGCGTACTTAAGCGCCCCGCTTAGGTGTCATGGCGGCTTTTTTACGTGCCGTGCACAACCGAAATTTTCACGAAAGAATTCTTCGGAGAGAGCGAGTATTTCGCGAAAGGTGAAACCCCTTGGCAGAGTTCACCGACGAAGAACTTTACTCGCGTTATAGGTTTGATAGAAACGGTGTTTTGTTTATAACCGACCTCATAAGGGAAGAAATTGAATCGCCAACCGAGAGAAGCTGCGCCATTCTTCCCGAAATAAAGGTATTGACAGCGCTGCAATTTTACGCCTGCGGAACATTTCAACGGACAGTAGGGGATACAATAAGAATTTTTCAACCTTCAGTGTCTCGAATAATTAATCTTGTGTCCTCGAGCCTTTCCAGGAGGTTGGGGGATTTCATAAAGTGGCCTGCAGCTGCAGATATTCAGAGGTTTTTTTTTACCATCGCAGGTTTTCCTGGCATAGTTGGTATTACTGACGGGACTCACATCCGCATCACAGCACCAAACGCCCATGAAGTACAATTCGTAAATAGGAAAAACTACCACTCAATAAACCAGGGGTGTGAGTGACCACTGATAAAAATAACTGAAAACAGCTGAACAAGGTGTAAAAAAGCTGAATTTTGGAAATCTCCTTTACTTTTGTACACAGCAAGTGAGGGGAAAAAGCTGAAATCCAAAACAAAAAAAGCTGAAATCAGCTAAAAAGCTGAGATTTCACACCCCTGATAAACGTTCAAGTTGTTGTGGACAACAAATGTAATTTCACTCAACTAAATGCCAAATGGCCAGGGAGTACTCACGACTCCAGGGTGCTCAGAGAGAGCTCATTAGCCAATGTTTTTGAACGAGGGCAGGGCGAAAATGAAGAAGTTTACCTGTTAGGCGACACGGGTTATCCCTCAAAACCATGGCTGCTCACACCGTTCCTTCAACCAGGCAATCGCCCTGAAGCACGTTACAACGGAGCTCACAGGTTAGTCATTATTTTCTTTTTTCTTATTCCCAAAGTTGTTTAATTCGAAGTGCTACTATAATTATGAACTGGGCTTTTTTTTCTGTCCACGCAGTTGTGATGATCAGTTTTTACGTTTTCAAACAATAACAATTCTCGAAGTCTGGTTGAACGAACCATCGGTCAATGGAAGCGACGGTTCCACTGCCTGCACGGTGAAATAAGACTGTCACCGGAACGTACGTGCAGGGTAATTGCAGCGTGTGCAGTACTCCACAACATCGCAAAGCAACAAGGCTTCCCGGACATTGATGAGGACGATCCGATGGATGACCCTCCAAATCCACAGCCAGACCAACCAGCACAGCTGCATGACAACGGCGACCTTGTCCGAAATCATGTAGTCCACACATATTTTCAGTGAGTTGGGGTATTAAAAGTTTGAGTGATGATGTATGTCAGAGTCGAGTCGAGTCGTATGCCGAAGCATGATGTTCACGTACAGAGTCGTATATGCCGCAGCTAGCTATAAAACTTACTACTACTACGCTCACAAACTTGTTACTTTTCACATGACTAGTGTATATTGTACTAGATCCTAACAAGTAGGCCAAGTTCATGAAACAATTATTTGCATAATATTGATACAACAATTTACCACCTGAACCGCGGTGCACTGAAAAAAATCAATAAAGTCTTACAAAAAAAATAAACATCGTTTTTTTTTGTTGGGAACTTCCGACCAAATAGATACACAATCGGTGACCACCTTGTACGAACTGTCAGAGAACACAATAATCACCTCCCCTTGCAGCCCCTTAGCAAAACGAAATAAACGTGCTGATTTTGTGACATTTTGTTTTTTGCAATCACCTTCAATCACCTTTAAAAAATGATATGAAACAATGAATGAAACAACTTTAAAGCAGAAATAAATTTAATCAGTGCAAGTACAAGTTAAAAAGCCATCTTTAAAAAAAAAAAAAAACAGGACAAAGTTTTTTTTTAAATGTAGGTTAAACTTGTCAATTAATATTAATAATGATCAAACCGGCTCATTATTTTGGCATGATCATAGTAATTGAAGGCCAAAATAATGAGCAATCGCGTTTGAGTATACAAAACAATTTTCTTGGCGTAAAATTGATGATAAAACTAAACGCTAATACAGTCTGTAGCGTTGTAAACATGGGATAGTGTAGATAATATTTCTTTCTTGTTAATTTTATTTTGAAAATCATTAATAAATAATCGATAACGCAGACGAACTTTCCACAAATCTTACAAAAAATACTGAGTACAGTGTATTAACTTTTAGGCAGTGGATATTTTGGCGGAGACGGCAAACTTGTAGTAGACGCTAGTTTGCCGGAGGTCGTCTCTGATTGGTTAATATATACTTACGTCACAGCGGTCGCACCGGCAATTTGGAAGTAAACGTTAGTTTGCCGGAGGTCGTCTTTGCCAATGCATATGCAAATAATGAGGAGAAGACACTGGCTATATGATAATCCAGAGGTTGTCCGTGATTGACGACAATATGAATACGTCACGTACATGGATATGGTATAATCTTCCGCAAAATGTTGTGTATGTAAAATTTTGCAGATCCTACTAGACTTAGACACAGTGCAGAGGCGAAATGAGGAAACTAACCGCGTGTGGCGCCTAGCGCACGGCACCCAGACTGATTGCCAGACTTTATCCGTTTAACATGTACAATCATAGGACGTACGTGGACGCATGTTCCGGCCGTGTCACGCACGGCATGTGTGGAACCGTTTTTGCCGGCGCCCGTGCTAAGCGCTTATGCGGGCCAAGCTTTTCAGATATTGTCTGCCGTGGTCGAATGGCCGGCGGCGTGGTGGCATGGCCCACCCACAGCGCGCATGCAGTGGGGGGGGGGGGGGGGGGGGGGGGCCTTTTGGGGTTTGTGAATTTTTAAACTTTGTTTGGAGAGAAAAAAAAAAATCTGATTCAAAAATTAGGTTATATTTCATTTAACGGGGATTCCTGATTTTAAATTCAAATTTTTAATAGGTTTCAAAAATTTAGAAATGGAAGTGTAAACAGAATTTGTAAACATAATTTTAGCTACCGATTTGGAAACTTTCGAAATGCAAACACTGATTTACTAATGCCATTGATTTTGTTGCATGATTCTCTTTTCAGCGATACCAAAATTGTACAATACGAGGTTTCAAATTTTTTTCACATCATAACCTGATGACTTTTGTTAGTTTCTTTAAAAAAAAAAATATTTCTTTCAAAGTCGCGTTTTACTTATATATATATATATATATATATATATTTGTATTATTATTAAAACTAATGAAAGGTATCTTCCATTATTGTAAATGGGTAAATAGGCACTATCACAAGGAGGGGACTACAACAGTTCGATGTTCACCAATACAAATACATGTTGTTTATTGGTACTATTTTCTCAGCACAAAGATGCAAGATTTGAAACAAGCAATAAAACGTTTTACAAAGTACATTTATCTGAAATCACTATAAGGCAAGCCTTATATTAATGTGTCTACAAATGCACGACCCAAAAAAATGAACTATACCCAGCAGGCATTTTTGGTCGGTTTAACGTCCAAGCGACGTTTGATTCTGACCAATACTGACGTTGGATTTTGGTCCTTTTATAATTGATTATGAAAGTCAGTTAGACGTCGAAATCTGATCAAATAATAACGTCTGTTTATGGTCGAGTTGTGACGTCAATCCTACTGGTTTTATTGACGTTAAACTGACGTCAGATTTCATGGTCAGATTTTGGTCATTTGATGATTGATTTTGTAAGTTATTTAGACGTTGAAATCTGACCAAATAATAACGTCTGTTTATGGTCGAGTTGTGCGTCAATCCTACTGATTTGATTGACGTTAAACTGACGTCAGATTTCATGGTCAGATTTTGGTCATCTAATGATTGATTTTGTAAGTTATTTAGACGTTGAAATCTGACCAAATAATAACGTCTGTTTATGGTCGGGTTGTGACGTCAATCCTACTGGTTTGATTGACGTTAATCTGACGTCTGATTTCATGGTCAGATTTTGGTCATTTTATAATTGATTTTGAAAGTTTTTTAGACGTTGAAAACATGACCAAAATCTAACATCCGTATATGGTCAAATCATGACGTCAGTCTGACCATGATTAACTGGTTAAATGGACGTCGACAGGACGTCAGATTCTTTGTTGAATTTAGGTCAGTTAATGGATGAAAGTGTAATTTATTTAGACATCTAAAACACAGACATGAGATCTAATCTCTTTTTTGAATATGTGTGGAGGTAGAAGACATCAGGCCGTCGATCTTGATGTTTTCTCTGATGATTGTTGACACGTATGGTAGGGCTTGGGTAGTATGTTTCTTCTCCATCAATTGCAAAGAGCAGAGATGAGCTGGAAAATTAAAAGGAGATGAATGAAATTGTGAATTTTCTTGAATACCAACACATTCAAAAATATTTTTTTGTGACTCGTAAATAATTAAAACAAAATAGATTCTTTATGTAAGCCAATTTAAGTGCAGCGGCAAATTTATTTTCAGAGATCCGAAGAAAACAATTATTCTTATGAAGAAGACATGCATATTTTAAGTATACTGGGCAGTTCCATGCGATTCCAAGAAAATGAACAAAACTTAAAAATTCGAAGAATATAAAAATTTTAAAAACTGCAAGCATCACAAGGTCCTCATTTGAGTTAGTGCGGTAGTGAGATTTGGAATATTTAAGTGATCGATCAACATAGTGTAGGAAATATGTCTCATGTTGAGATGTGCGTTAAATGACAGCAGTTTTAGGCTTAAATGCAGCTTGGACATGATGATGGAAGGCGGGAAGAACATGCATGACTGCTGATTAGCTTAGATAGTCTAGATTTCAATGCACCGTAAGTGTAACTTTGAATTTGAAATAAGAATTGACAATAGCATCAAACATTAACAACTTTCAACAATGAGAAGTTGAAGTATTTTTCCATTGAATTTTTATGTTATACAAGTAAGTAGGCCTACAGAAGGGAACCCATTGTACATATCACTGTCAGGATAACATTTCAAGACTACTCGATCCCGTCCTTAAAAGAAATTTCAAATCCCTAACTCGGAAACAATCGCATTAGAAACTTACCGTTTTTCAGACCGGTACATTGCAAAAGCCGACCATATTGTACGCCTGCGTACTAATCTTGATAATTGCAGTTCAATCGAATCTTGTGCTTGTCCCATACATCCTGATGTCGTATCTTGACTTGAAGTTAAGATTAGCAGGAACATGATCTTGTCATCAAGTGGCATATACTGTAGGACAATGACTGTTGCAATGTGCCCACAAAACTTCGACATTTTGACCCACCACGTCTTTTCCCGAACTGAGCTGTTTCGAAGTTGCTAGACTCGTGTAGCATTGGATGGAATGCAAGAGGTCACACACAGGGCGTAAATAATGCTCACGCACGCGCGGTGCGCGCGCGATGTTTTGGTCATTTGGCGCGCGGGGCAGGAATTTTGGCTCAGAGCCAAGACGTACGTTTGGATGTTGTATTTTGGTTTAAACCATGACATAATGACAACGTTAGATATTTTAACCATCCATCGACCAGAACTTAACGTCATTATTTGAATCGTCGAAAGGACGTTAGAAAACGGACGTAACTATGGTTGAAAACATGACCTTTAATAATGACTTCAAATATTATAACCAGCAACCGACCATAATCCAACGTCACTGTTCGAGTAGTTGAAAAAAAAATGTCAAAACCATGACATAATAACGACGTTAAATATTTTAACCATCCCCTGACCAGAACTCAACGTCGTTATTTGAGTCGTGGAAACGACGTCAGAAAACGGACGTAATATCATTGTTAAAACACAACCTAGTAACGACGTCAAATATTATAACCAGCAGCTGACCACAATAAAACCTCGCTTTTGGAGTCGTTGAAAAAAACGTCAAAAACGGACGTTATATTTTGGGGAAAACCATGACATAATAACGACGTTAAATGTTTTAACCACCCCCTGACCAGAACTCAGCGTCGTTACTTGAATCGTGGAAACGACGTTAGAAAACGGACGTAATATCTTAGATGCAAACATGGCCTCATAATAACGACTTCAAATATTATAACCAGCAGCTGACACAATAAAACCTCGATTGGAGTCGTTGAAAAAACGTCAAAAACGGACGCTATATTTTTTGTGAAAACCATGACATAATAACGACGTTAAATATTTTAACCATCCCCTGACCAGAATTCAACGTCGTTATTTGAATCGTCGAAACGACGTTAGAAAACGGACGTAATATCATGGTTAAAAACATGACCTCATAACGACTTCAAATATTGTAACCAGCAGCCGACCATAATTCAACGTCAATTTTTTAGTAGTTGAAAAAACGTAAAAAACGGACGCTGCATTTTAGTTGAAAGCATGACATATGTACGACGTCAGATATTATAACCAACGGCCAACCACAATTCAACGTCGTGTTTTGATTTGTTGAAACGACGTTAAAAAGCGAACGTCATATCTTGGTTGAAAACATGACATAATTGTGACGTCTTGAAGGGAACCATAATAATGACAATAATACAACGTTGTTTTTCAGGCCGTTGTAAAGACGTTGACAAAACAACGTCATATCATGGTTGAAACTATGTTACGTATTATTTGTGACCAAATTCCTACTACATTGTGACGTTGTTGTTATGTCAAATTCTGACGTTAAATTGTCGACACTAAAGCAACGTCTGGCAGACGTTATAATGACAACGTTTTCTTTGGTCTACCAAAACAACGTTGTTTTTCGGTTAGGAATGGTTGATCTGACGTTGCGACCATAGTACAACCGTTATACAACGTCAGTCTGACGTTTGGTGCCTGCTGGGTACTGTCAGCTGCGAAACTGAATTGAAAATAAAAGCACCAGGTGGATTTTTTTTGGCAAACTGGTTGGCTAAAAATCAAAATACAGGCACTGTATTACAATAAATTGTAGTTGAAATACAAAGTTGTGTATGAAATACCGGTATGACTTTTAAAAATGAAACCAATATCCATAACTACTTTTTGGCCAGCTGGACGTACTGTTCCTGTTTTGGCAAGCCTTCTCTTTTCCATATCAAATTGGATGGTCTCTTTTCTCACCAGTGAAGTAATCAGTTGTCATACCAATAAATTTTCTGAGTAATCCAAAACCCGAGAGATACAATCTTCCTCCTTGCTTTATGGGGAAGACTTTAACTGTAGATTTAACTTGAGAGAATATACAACATAGATGGGTTTGGGGTTAGTAGTTTATAGCAAATATTATAACACTGACTTGTTTGATGTAATTTGTTATTAGAGGATAAAAAAAAAAACAAGAAAATACTATTGTTTTCTTGTAGTCTGGTTCCCTGACTCGACTATGATGAAGTTGAGCAATTTTAGACATCTTGGAATTGTAAGGTCAGGGAACCAGTCTACCTGGCTTTGTACCCGCTCAAACGTGTATGTAATTGATTGCAAAATTTTTGAAATACCAAATAATTATTGTAAATTAGGGTCAGTATATGAAAGAAGCAAGTGTTTTGACTTTTGATCACTGTTATCCGCTGACGCGTCAAGTAAGTTTTCTTAATACTTTTTTCTTTCTTTCCTTTTGTGAAATGTTGTATATTCCCTAATAGGTCAGCATATGGGTGTTTACATAAATGTGAAGGCCAGTGGTAAAATGCACATGTTTTTTCCTTTCATGGGGCATTTCCATGTTAAAATAACCAGCTTGTTAATATTTGTGTTTTTACTTTATTGCCCAAATCACTATGTACCCACTGAAATAAAAAAAAAAAAAAATCACCACAATGCATTTTTATAATTTTGATCAAAAATTTGCCACAATTATGACATTTTTACAGCTTGTCCAATGGTGCACGGTTTTCATTCTTTCAATTGATAAATTGGGACCTTTTTAATTCTAAATGATTGATGATAACCCAAAAGTTAATATTAAACACATTGAAAACTTGACCCTAATGTCACACACTGGCCTCCACATTTATGTAAACACCCATATATGGTTTATGTACTTATTTAACACTTAGAATTACAACTTAAACAAAACCACTTTTTTGTTTTTGGAGGCTTCTTTTGTCCTGTACATGATAGGTGATACCATTCAAGGCAACCATCACATCCTATTTGCTCACAGTCTAGATCATTTTTACAGAAAGATCTAAGCCACCCCATAGTTGCTACTTTGGATGCGACAGACAGGACAGCTTTCCAGCCATCCCTGGTAAAATACTTCCTGGCCCGTTGAACTGCCCCACCTTCATCATGCCTGCATGCATGAGACACGTCCTTTGGTTTTTTCACATCCTTTTTGGTTAGCAAGTCTCCCGACATCGCACTTGCGGCAGCATGTTCGCTCACAAACCATCTCAAAACACCCGCAAAAATAGAATTAAAAAATAGCCTAATGAATTAATTTATGTTGCCAAAATATCTTAGGTTTAATAAATGCAGTGTTCAAATATAACTAATTTCAACAACAGAACTTCAAGTCTTTGAAAAAAAAAGTTGAAAAGACTCGAGTCAAAGGCTCTTTAATGATGAACTCCGTAAAGTACATGTACTTGTTGTACAAGCCTCATCTTCATCATTGCACAGATAAGGTTGTAACTTGTACTTGTAGTATGGAGTGTTATATGCTCATACCATCTGTACATGACCGGGCACTATTCCTGAACCAGACAGTGTTACACTGTCAGTGACTCCTTTAGACTCATACACCCTTTGACTGAACTTGACTCAATTCAACCTTGTTGATTTTTAAGACTTGATTCACTTAAGTCAATTACTTAGATTGGCTCAAGTAACACTAACTTGTCACAAATGCTGCATTTATGAACGTAACAGTTCACGTTTAACATAAATGTAGCTTAACAGCAGTTTGAGGGTCCAAACTAAAAATGAGAAAAAGACTTAATTACATTTGTCTTAGTCGTCTGGTCTTTTTTGTGAAAACTGCACAGGCTTTGATGTCTTGCTGTTCTTGGTCTTTCTGCATGGCAACCCGATTGCAGTTACTTGAGCTCCTTTAGGCCTGCCCTTGATGCTCATTTTCGGTGGCAATGCTATCACTGGTAACTAATCAAGTTTGGGGGAAAAATTAGAAGGTCAATTGCAAATACAGGCCATTGATCAAGACCACAAATCGTTTACATTCGTTTTTCATTGCATATTCTTTGAAATGCAATTGTACTTTGGTGCCATTTTGCATTCGGTAAGTTTCAGCTTTTGTAAGTTGCTGGTACAATAACAACAAAATGATTATGTGCTCCGCCCGGTGCTCCGCCCGGTGCTCCGCCCGGTGCTCCGCCCGGTGCTCCGCCCGGTGCTCCGCCCGGTGCTCCGCCCGGTGCTCCGCCCGGTGCTCCGCCCGGTGCTCCGCCCGGTGCTCCGCCCGGTGCTCCGCCCGGTGCTCCGCCCGGTGCTCCGCCCGGTGCTCCGCCCGGTGCTCCGCCCGGTGCTCCGCCCGGTGCTCCGCCCGGTGCTCCGCCCGGTGCTCCGCCCGGTGCTCCGCCCGGTACGCCACTTGGTGCGCCAACTGGTGCTCCAACTTGTGCCTCACTTGGTGCTCCATCCAGAACTGCACCCGGTGTTCCATTGTGTGCTCCACTTGGTGCTCCATCCAAAACTCCACCCGGTGTTCCACTCGGTACACCACCTGGTGCCCCAACCTGTGCCTCATTTGGTGTTCCATCCGGTACTCCACCCGTTGCAGCACTTGCTGCTCCATCCCGTGCTCCATCCAGTATTCTACCTGGTGCTCCACTTGGACATGATCTTCCACTTGATGCAGCTGCACTGGTACGTGGCCTTTTACATGGAGCTGGGCTATGGTAGGCCTAAGCGTTTTCTTTCTTTTGGCAGGTGCTGGTGCAGTGATGAACAGCTCTGGTCGATAAGTCGGTGGGGGCTGTTCATAAACAAAATAAATTAAAAAAGAAAATCATAAATAAATGACAATAAACAGATACATCAAAGAAAAGAAGTGTAGTGTTTACAAAATCACATTAGTTATGTGCTTGTCCTAAATCCAATTGGCAATGTTTGATGCACATTATGTGGTAACACAGTGACTTACCAGCAAGCATGTCCTTGTGTTTTGGGTCGTTTCACTTGGAGATTCAGGATCAACAGTGAGTACAGGAGCTTGATCAGTCACGGGTTGCCGTTGTCGACTTGGATTTGTCGTTTCCTTTGCAATAAATCAATAAATTATTCATGTTACATGTTTAAAACAATAGGGTTTTGAAGAATTTGTTTTTTCTTTACTTAAATAATGTAAATGCGTAAGAAAACTATAAATATTACTTGAGAATACTGGAATGTATGAAACAGGTAAATATTTATAAGCATTACCATTAATTAAAACCAATAATTTGCTTCAATGAACAAGAATTAGGTAAAAATAAAAACACAGTATAGAAAACCTTCACATCGTTGAATATACATTGTGGAGTGTGCTGCTCCCTGTTAATCCTGTAAAATTATGCAAAACCTAAATAGCTACATGTAGCAACTTAAATTTAAAAAAAAATTTTTTTTATTCAAACGACCCATTATGTTGTGTCTTGTTACCTGATCGATTCGTGATACTCCTGCTTGGCTATCTTCCTCCCAGAGTTTCACCAGATCAGACAAAACTGCCATACGCTGCTCATATTTAGACATTGATCCTTCACTGGCTAGAGTAGCTAGCTGCTGAGCCACTGAAAAGGCACTTTTATACTTCTGTGACTGGGACAGAACATGTCGTCGGCCAAGAACTGTCACTGGTGGCTCAGCTCCTGCTTCGTTGACTGTACAAGGAGGGGCTAAACTGTGACCTGTATAGAACTCTAGTTTCCAGCGTTGTGCAACTTCTTCGACAGTGAATAGATCCAAGTTGTTCTTGGCCCGGAATGCAAATATATGCCTGCAAGGAAGTCTGTTGTAGACCACAAATTTGCATGTACATGTGTTCTCTGTCACTCGTGCCGTACCACATGATGTTTGTATGTCCATGCTAGTTGATGCAATGTGTGACACAGGTAATTTCACCTTACTTCTGAGTGACATTTGATTCACAACAATTCGGTAGGCATACGGAGTCAGCATCTTGATGTATCTACCCTCTGGTGAAGAAGCGGGAAACGATGATAGTGGTCGTTCATTTAGTACATTAGCGATCCGACTATCACGCTCTTGACGTAGGCAGCGAATGACTAGTTCTAGGTCATGGAAAAACGTTTTCAGATTTGTGAACCTGTCTACTACTTGCTTCAGCTTCTGGTTGATACTTTCAATTATGTTTGTTGTGTTGTTCTTGTAGTTGCAAGATTCTTTTAGTCCAACAACCCACTCTTTACGAATTTCGTTCCATGATTTTTCGATGTACTCAACCACTGGCTGAATGTTTGTGTCGCGTAGTCTTTGAAGGTTCTGAGCATATTCTGCCTCGGTTTTGGAGTAGGCCATTGCCTGTATGATTTCCAGGCAGAAGTTTTTTTCCTCAATGCGGATTCCCATCTTCTCTTAGTGGATTTCTCGTCTCATGGTCTTCAACACATGAAAAAGACAAAGCTGGAGAGCAACATCTGGCATCAACTCTTTGTATACCTTGCGCTCTGTCATGTCTTTGTTATGACAGTTTGAATACGCTCCCAAGCAGGGTTGTGCTTCTGGAATATCTCGAGCAAACATCTTAATGTATCGTGGTCTTCGCTCACTATGATGAATACAGAAATGATTTCACTTTCTCCATTGCCGTCAACGACAATCTGCAGAAACACCGGCATCCTGAGATTATTTAATTTGTAGGTCGCATCTGCCATCACTAATTCTGGGTAGTCAGCGAATTTCGTCTGCATTACAGTGTCCTGGTAATATATGGCACGCAGTGTGTCTGTATCATCTGTTACGATTTCAACAGTCGTATCTAAAAAAAAACCCAAAAAACAAGAGAGGCACAGAGAAAAAAAATGTTAAGAATAGCACAACTTTTCTTGTAGATGACAACCTACATTTGTATAGAATTCTATCCAAACATTGCCAAGTGCAGACCTGTAAGGACTCCGATAGCAAAAAAAACCCTGTTTGCCAGAGCTTCCTGGATTTGATTTCAAGTTTACTGCCATAAAGTGACACAATGAATCACACAGAAAAAGTTTTTAAAAATCCAGCAAGCTTTTGTGCAACTAATTATTGCAACATTGAGGTTCATGCCTGATATAACATCCCAGTTTTGCTCATGAAAAAAGAAAATTTAATTTACGTTAACATAAAAACAAAAAAGCCATAAAAAAACATTGAAAACAGCTTAATCAAGGCACAGGCCTTTCAAATACATGTAGCAGACAATGACATGAGAAATAGCAATGGCAGAACTTGGAACAGACCAAAATGGACTGGTGTTGCATAATGGTCTTTGTTTAACCAAAAAAGTCCTACTGAACTGAATCAAACAAAGAAAGTCACACAAGAAAGAGAAAGGTTTGGGTTCATCGTTTCTATTATTATTTGAGAATTTCCATACAAATTTTGAGAATTTGATACACCCCCAGAGAGACATTTCTTGGGACACCCTGTACAAATAGAAAAAAATAGCCAACTTACCTGGACGTTCACAAATCCCTTGTAAGATGTCTTCTAAATTTTGAGGACAACCTTTCTGTTTGGCTGAAAGGTTTTTTTATGTCACGCAGGGTTACTTTGTTTCCGTAAGTGCGGCGCACATGCTGCTGGAGGATTTTGTTATTTGGCCTTGTTGTCAAAATTTGGTTGACAACTGAACATTGCTCCTCATTCAGTCTGCGACACTTTGGCAGCAACTGGTATGTTTCGTCAGAGGATTGGTGATTGTGGTTGCAGTTTAAGCTGTGTACCACTAGTTTCTGTGCGTCTCTTGAGGCACGGAAAACAACAAATGCTGCACATCCAATCCGAAAAGTACTGTTAATAGAATAGAACTAATACAAAACAAAAAAGTAAATAAAAAAGGGAACACAAAATGTTTTAAAAGAAAAGAAAAGAAATACGGCCTACTGCAAGCAAAACTTGCTTATTATACATCTCTTGGCCCTGCACATTTGACCTCTACATTACCTTTGACCTGAAATATCACAGGTCATCCCAGGTCTTGACTTTTTCATATGACTGCACTTGTTTTTGTTGTTTCAAATAATTTTACCTCCATGCAAATATCTGTCCCCTTATTAATCTTGAATTCATGAACATGAATTGGATTGAATTGAATTTGTTCCCCGATGGATTGGTGACATTTATGCAGCCTTTTCTTTTAAATAAAAAAATAAAAAATTATTTCAATCATTCCAACTGATACTTGGAAGGTGGGTTCCTCTCAATATTCCCCCAAAATTAGGACTTCCCCGTGTTTCCTTCAGGTGAAATTTGTCTCTTATAAAAAATAATTTGTCAACTGAAAAAAATTGACAACTGAAAAAGGGGTAATCCTTAGTCGTGGCAAAAAGGGTGCATTAGTTAATATAGTGTGAATGATTTAAGGATTGTATTGGCGCTCCCCATTGAAAGTATGGCATGAGCCCCCCCCCCCCCCCCCCAAATTTATTTTCGGAGGCCTAAGTTTCTGGAAAAAATAACCGGTCTACATTTCAGCACGCCTCCCTGAAAAAATTCTGGATCCAGGATGGGCAGGGTTTTGATTTATGACTCAAAAACCAAGATGGCAAACGTGAAAGCTCGACGCGATTAAAGCTCGATGCTGATTGGCTGATAAAAAATAAACCTCTTATTTACATTTAGTCTGGTTCCCAGACCAAAAGATTCTGGAATAATCAGAATCATTTAGTCTGGGGACCAGACTTACTTATTTATTTTTAGTCTGGTTCCCAGACCAAAAGATTAAGGAATAGTCAGAATCTGTTGGTCTGGGAAACGGACTAATTTATTTTTTTTTTAGCAGCGAATCAGCATCGGGCTTTCATTATGTAAGGCTTTCACGCATGTGAGAACTACAATGCACGTCTGACTGCAAAAAAAAGGTTAGAAAGTCACATTTTCTTCGAAAGTGCTTTCAAAACTACAACTAACATGAGTTTATATGAAGAAAAAAAGACTGCTTTAGCCTGCAAAAGTCACTTTGGTACTGGACAGTCAATGGTCATCTGCAAAAGTTAGTTTTGAACAGAACTTGTAAAAAATAGAGGTGTCCTAAAAGTACCGAAAAAGGCAGCATACTATAAAGAGGGTGAGTATGTTTCTTAAGCTAAAAAAACCCTACAAACTAGGCCTGAATGTGAAAATCTAAATTTGACAGAAGTTCGACACGTTTTTGTGGGGCTACCCAAAGCCAAAGTCGAAGTTCGTGACGGGCAGCTCGCCAAGTATAAGTAGTCTGGTTCTCCGACCAAAATATTCCCCTTTCCTTCATTTAATGTAGACACGTGTAGGACACCGCGCCTGGTTATGGCCGTATCATATCTGAAAAAAAAATCGCATGCCTGATCAGAACAGCCAGCCAATCACAGTGCGCGCATCTTAATTATAATATGCTAAATCGAGGCGTGCGGCACTGTGATTGGCTGCCTGTTCTGATCACGTATGAGATGTTTTTTTCGGATATGATATACCATGCGCGGTACCTTTCACGTGTGTATGTTACAGAAAGGGAAATATTTTTGGGCAGAGAACCAGACTACTTATACTCGGCGAGCTGCCTCAGTGCCTGTCATGTCACTCATGAACTTCCACTTTGCAAAGACTTTGGGTTGACATATATAACATTTTTAGAGACGAAGTTCACCAGAAGAAAGCACAGGGAAGTCCTAATTTGGGGGGAATATTGGGAGGTACGGGCTACGGATAAGTGAACTCACCTTCCGAGTATGAGTTGGAATGATAGCAATACAAATTTTGGGGCTTCTTATTTGCAAATCCTCAACTTTTAGGGAAGCAATATGGCTCAGCATGTACAGTCTACTCAGTGCGGGCCATGCATAGACTAGGGCCAGGGTGTAGCCGTACATGTACATACCTTTGCTTGGGTCGTTTCCCAGTGCTTTGGGATTTGTAGTCCTTTCCCCCCTTTACACAACTGAAACGTATCTCATAGTACTTTATTCGTTCGTTGTCCGGAACGTCATATCCCCGCTTTCGGGCCGCTGCTAAGGTGCGAGAGTCTCGTCTCCAGAAGGATACTTTCTGTTCTTTTTCGAAGACTTTTATGATGTTCAATTCATCGTCAAGAGATGAAAACTCATCCCCAACACGCAACGTGGTTGAGTCGGCCATCTTTTACTAACCACGCCGCGCCGTCCGTGCGCGCACGTCCGTGTATTGTATGTACTGTCAACTGTGCATAGAATTATGATGAAGACAGCGTGCGCATTTGCTGAAAAGTTTATACATTATTATGTGACGTATTTATATTTTCGCCAATCACGGACAACCTGTACAAGACAAATGACGGCGCCGTACCGTGTACACCGCGGGCTACCCATGAGTTGATGTGTGACGTCATCATTGTTTGCATATGCATTGGCAAAGACGACCTCCGGCAAACTAACGTTTACTTCCAAATTGCAGGCGCGACGTCAGTAAATATTAACCAATCAGAGACGACCTCCGGCAAACTAGCGTTTACTAAAGGTTTGCCGTCTCCGGCAAATTATCCACTGCCTAACTTTTATTAAACGAAACGACTGAACAAGAATATGGACATACAGTAATAATTTTAGGAACACAAAAAACATATGTTGCACAAACAATCTTCAAAACAAATTCGATAAATCGGCCAAATGTTGAGGGTTTGACATTTTGCATCTCAAGACATTCCATCACTGATTCTGGAAGTTCTGCTGCTGCAATATTGCTATTTGCAGACACAGCATTTCCTTCTCCAACAAGCTTTTCAATTTCGACCCATGTTCTTCTTGTTTGGGCTTCACTCCTCTTCTGCTCCAGTACCAGCAGCTTCCCATACTCATCATCATTCATGTCTGCTCTCCTCTTTAGGCACCGTCGTTGACTGATTCGGGCGAGGCTGCTGACTGATGATGGGCTCCGGCACTCCACCAACATGAATGCTTTATCAAAGAAGAATTTGTTCATAATAATTATTACAGCTTTTCCCAGTTATTTTAACACACTATCTTTCCATGCAAATTTTCGTCCCCGAGCATATAGTCGAACTCGATTACCGATTTCGATTACAAAAAAGCCACGAAGGGGTCTAATTTCAGGAGCATTATAATCCAAATTTGTAATATTCTGGTTTGTCGGTCTTATTTAGTTACAATCGTTTCAAGTGCCGATTGCCATTGTACTGAAAAGACAAATTCACTGTTTTGTCATTTTTATATTGGCGCTTTTATTGGTCATTGTAATGTCGGCCCCTATTCAAATTGGGAACCATTTTAACATCTTTGGCCGACAATTTTTCCCTACCTATAATGCTTACGGTTGCAATTTTCTTAGCCATGCTTGCCTTCCCCGAGCTTCCAAAGGGCAGGTGTTGCGTCACCCCCAAAAATGCAAGATTCGCTTTTTCCTTTGTTTCGAGTCAGGAGAGCCCGATCATGCCGTTCAACGTGGGCAAGAATTGGACAAGATTGGTCAATTCCTGGCTGTCCACGCTTCTCCTAAGAAAGTTAGTCCAGTACTCCCTTTTTGATTGGCTTCCTCTGAAATGGTCTCATTGTTTTAGCTTTTTGACCAATGAGAAAAATCCACCAGACCTGTCCGAGCGCGTGTTCGGCAGGGTTTTTAACCCCCTGCCCCACCTCGATTCTTCAGAATCGAAGGAATACCTAGATGCGAGAAGACTTAGTCTAGAGTGTACCCACTTTGCACTTTTTGTAGTTAACGTAGGAACGAGTGCGGACTTCCCTAAGTCGACATTTTCGTGAAAAGTATAGCGTTCCCAACCCACTTCTCGCATCGTTTGCAGCTAGCTTTGTTGTGTTGAAGGTATATTTGCACTCAACTGTTCTTTTTTATTTAGTATTTAGCATTATTATCCAGACCGAATTATAATATTGTGTAAAAAGGAAATACATCATGAATTATTTTGGCACGGTACAATATTTTGATAAGCAGAAGATTGGGGGTGTGCCAGTTTTTGATTGGCGGCGCTGTCAATAAAATCTCCCGAACGCATGTGTTTTTTTCCCGAAAAATCTGACCACTACTGGTATCAAATTTAGCAATTAGTAAATGGCTAATACCATTCCTCTATTCTTGCTGTGGCAACTGCCGGCTGCTCCTCTGGTAGTGCCAGTAGACCCAGGCTATCAAAGCCACCGTTGATTCCCATTATTGTAGGAGTATTCTCTCCTACCAGTGTGACCAGTCTCTGGTCTAGAGGAGAAAGATCAGGTGGTGCTGGTCCTCCTCCTTGAAATGAAAGCAAGATAATTTCAGAGTTCACGTCATGCAATTACATTCTTTTTTCCATTGCAGACTAGTTTTGCGGAAACTTTAACAGAACGAAGATACATGAGAACAAACACAATTCCAAGACCTGTTACCGATTAGCATTTCAATTTATTGTACAGTTACAAAAATCTGACCAAATTTGCTGGACAGGGTAGGCAAAAGGTGTGAGGGATCACATACCCAAACTTAATTTTCTTATAAAGATTATAAAGATATAACACTGTGTGCGATGTTTATTTGATATCAACTTTATGTTTAGTGGAACATGTGTCGGACTACCAAAGCAACCCCTTAAAATCAAATAAATGAGTCTATATGGTTAAATATATAATTAGCTGATTTAATGTTTGTAATATATTGTATTTTTCAACATGTCCCACTTTGAAACGATGCTTTCTGTAAATAAAGATGCATCTCATACCTGTCTTCAACGAATCCTTACGATGCCTTGATGTCTCCTCCTTCATCTTACTGTTCATATTTTGCCACCTCTTCTGTAAATCAGCTACATTTCGACGTACGGAGGGAAACTGGGCATTCAGGGAGTCCGCAATTTCCTGCCAGGCATTATGCTTTCCCTGTGAGGTTATTTTAGACGAGAACTTGGGTCTCAGAATATTCTGACGTTTCTCCCACTCACTCAGGAGAAGTAATTTCTCTTTCTCGGAAAAATTGGGCTTTCGTACTTTCGCAATTGTTGTTACTTTGTAATCGATTAATGCATACAACAAACACAACGTGAAAGTGTGTGTTGAACGCGCGCGTGTCAGGAGACGCGGGCGCGCACGCGTCTGTCATTTGATCACCTCTTGATTGCAAGAGTTTCCAGTAAATCTTTGTATTTCTTGTTTATTATTTTATGTACTCACCTACAATCAATCAACGCCTCTGACAAGTGGGTAATTGATTGATTGCGTTGTTGTCTTGGCAACAGTTGTTGACGTATGTGCTGTGCGCATGAGCAAACGGAATACTTTCAGTTAGTTATTTCCTTAAACTTAAGCGGGGTGCTAAGCTAAGCGGGGTACTTAGATGTTTTGTGAATAGTTAGTTAAGCACCCAACTTAAGTTAGCGGGGTGCCTAAGACTTAAGTGCAAACTTAAGTACCCCACTAAGATAAGTTTCGTGAATACGGCCCCAGGGGCTTAAAGCTGTCTATGCGTGCAAGCCGGTCTTAAAAGCGCTGACTGTTGATCGGTCTAATTAATAAGACCGTTGCAATGACACGGTCTAAGTATTAAGACAGTCTTATAATAGTTAGCCTGGGATGGGCTGGCTTAAAACGGTCTATAGTTGGAATAAAATGATTGTTTTATCATAGTTTCATGTCCGTTTTTTTGTACTCATGACTTTTTGCTTCCAGTTGATAGTTATTAATGATTTACACAGAAGAGCCCTGCGTCGAGAGAGGCTTTACCGGGATAGACTGAACCCTTTAGAGAATTATGACGAAACCGAGTTGTATCGCTACTACAGATTTCCTCGACACTCGATCTTGCAATTGACGGATTTAATTTCGCGTGATTTGAACCAGACAAACAAGAACCATGCGGTTCCCCCAGTATTGCAAGTGTGCACGGCGTTGCTTTTTTACGCTACAGGTGTTATCCACAATGTGTCTGGTGATATGTCAGGTATGATTCCAAATACGATTATAAAATGTAAGACGTAATTTTTATATTTAAAGACAAATTGTTATAGACTCTACATAATGGCTTAAAAACGTAACTATCATTAAAAGTAATTAGGCCTATGTAGGTTACTGCTGAGTCTTTTAAGCGAGTCAGTTAAAACATGGAGGAATAAATGGAATGTGTTTTTATTCTTCCAGTGTTAAAACGGAATGGTTGAAAGATGATAACTCTAGATATGTGGGAATACTTATGTGGATAAGCCTTGCTCTATGGGATAAGTGATTGCTTTAAAGTTAAGAGTCAGGGCACATTACGAAGAAACAAAAAAAAAGTGTATTTTATTGTTGGTCATAACATGCTTATAAGTCCGCGAAGTCCATTATACAGATCTAAATGGCGCGAGTTTCAAAACCTCCTGTCACCATGTGACATAATATTTACCTAGTTTGGCAAATGATGAAATTACCAGGGGGGGGGGGTTACAAAATATTGGATATCATAGTTATATCGTTGTTTCGTTGTTTTCAGGAATACACGAGTCCACTGCCTGCAGAATAGCAAGGAAAGTTTCACTAGCTCTAGAACGAAACCTTTGGCGATTCGTTTCCTTCCCTCACGATGAAGGAAGTCTCCGAGCTCAGAAACTTGGTTTCTACAACATCGCTTGGTTTCAAAATGTGGTTGGTGCCGTCGATGGGACTCACGTCAGGATCCAAGCCCCACATGATCAAGAATTTTTGTATGTGAACAGAAAGGGGTATCACAGTCTAGATGTTCAAGTGATTTGTGACTGTCATAATGAAGTTCACAAATTGTGTCATTTACTGGGCTGGTTCGACTCATGACTCCCGCATTTTCAGAGAAAGTGCCATCCTGAGATCATTTCAACATGGGCAGGTTGATGGCTACCTTCTCGGTGACAAGGGCTATACTCTCTGTCCCTACCTCATGACACCATATATCAACCCTGAAGGTGTGGAACAGCAACCGTAAGCATGGAAACGGCGGTTTCGTGTGATGCACGAGGAGACAAGAATGTCACCAGAAAGAGTATGTGATGTAGTGGCAGCCACCATCCTTCTGCATTACATGGCCAGGGATCAACGCCTTCCTGACATTGATGATGATAAGTATGTCCCTGAAGAAGAGGATATGGAAGATGTCTTCGATGGTCCTGTAGCAGCACAGGGTTATGTAGTACGTAAAATGATATGCCACGCATTGTAAACTACTTTCTTTAATAGAGGGGGGGATAATTATCTGCAAAAGATTGTAAATTAATTGGGGCAAGCATTGACACGGATTTAATACAGTTAAAAAAAGGAAAAGTATATTGTATCTAAGACTGTAAGATTTCATAAGTCACAAGCAATACCAGCAAATATAAAGTTATTTAGCTTCATTTTATTTTTTTCTCAGCTGCTGACAACTTGACAGGCACTAAGCACTGTATCAAAAACTGGGAATTTCCTTCTGCCAGCCAATAAAAGAAGCATTGTGTTAAGGCCTCAATTCTGCAACATTTGTACATAATTTTTTTAAGATTATATATTTATAAAATACATGTATATATTTCAATAATATAGTCCACTGGGTAAAAAAAAAATGCAGCTTTCGGATCGAAGTAAACAGTGCAAGTACATTAAGGCTATGCATGGTGTAGTGCATACAAACTATGGGTTTCGCACTTCTTACTTATCTTCACAAATCTAAACTGAATGTATTTTGAAAAGATATTTATTATTTAGTTATAAAATTAGCATACCCCTACTCTTCTACTGGGTAAAAAAGAATGCAGCTTTGGGATCAAAGTTAATAGTAGAAGTAGGTTAAACCTGTGCAAATAAAATTTGTGTGTGTAAACATTTCGTTTAAATATTGAAATATTTGTGGATGTTATCAAGTGCTATTAATTGTGCTTACTCTTCAGTTACAACAACCTTAGTGGCCAAAATAGCAATCTCCATCTGCAACTTTTGCTGCTGCATTTGAATCAGTTTAGTCTCTTCAGTTAGCTTTTCTTCTTCTACATTCATCTTCTGTATTTTGGCCTTGGCCAAGGTCACTCCCCACTTGAGATATTCTGCGTAGTCAGTAGTCCGCCTTTTTGAGCTGGTCTGTGCCGTAGGACTGGATACATTTCTGGGGCTGGGAGGTTGGATGTGGCCTGTGGAATCCAGTTCCTCATCTTCCTGGACGTCATCTATTGTGCATGGCTCTTAACTTACAGTTTGACCTAAATGATAAAAGTCAATCAAATAGCCAATCCAGGGTTAGCTTTTGGGGGTACACTAGATTTTGGGATGCCTCCTTTCCCATTTGGTGTAAGTACATTGCCTGCGAAGGATTCAAATATTACAAGAATTTTTTATGCGACTTTAATATCAGCCAATCTGCCTTCATATTGGAAAGTAGTTTGGGTGGAGTATTTTGTTCTAAATTTAAAGGTTGGCAGAAACGCCTACATTTTTGCAACAGTATAAACATCAATACCCACTGCTATCTAAACCACGCAGGCCTGACTCAATGCCTGCCGCGATTCCGATTAAAATCTCACTGTCGACTCCCCCGAACATCTCTGAAACGAGAAGCGATGATTTAGAGAGTACATGGGCAGGCCCTCCACCAGTAGCTGGATGCTTGATCTAGGATTGCAATTTACAAATCACATTGAAAATAATAAAAGCCTAAATTTACTTTGTTTTACACAGAGAAATGTGCATATGGGTTGTAATAAAGAAGGGGCATTTTTTAAAATGAAAAATTTTGAGGTTTGGTGCTTTTATTTGCATTTGCCATTTATATGAATACGAAGTGTACATGCGTTGATGCAGTACGACATGTATGAACGTCGATATGGACTGCCGTATGCGTAGCTCTATCGTACGACATGTGAGCATTGCAAAGCGCGCCACCCATCGCGGTAAGGCGAGCCATCAGATATCAGACCGTTCGGTACCGGGTCCGGTATGCTAATTTCTTTCACCCCAATCGGTACGAAGCCAGAAGCCACCCGGTCACTCAAGCGAGACGCCCCAATCGGCCCAAACTGGTGACTCAGGGTTTCACAATAGGCAACATAAATTGAAGTCTGGCCATTGTTGGAGGATTATTCGGCCCGCTAGGATTACCAGCGGCAACTTCTATGAAGCTCATCACAGTCATTGTTGCCTACTGGAGGATTAGCGCGTCGCAAATTGGTTCCTTTGTGATGAGCCAGAGCCATGGTGCAGAAGCCTGGTGGAGTTAATCCAGGCCGATCGGTTCCAGGCAAGGTCCCAATCCCTTCAACATACTGGGCGGGCTGAACCCCGAACGGTTCGGGGAGGGATTCTAATTTGAGGGCTCGCCTAACCATGGAACGTTAGTTCGCAACATCATTACTACAAGCGGGCTTAGTACAGACCGGCTTATTGCAAGGGGCTAAATTTAGCGTCTTATCCAAGACCGGCTGACATCGATAGCCGACTAGCTAAGACCGCGGTATTGCAATCCGCCCCAGTGGTTCCAGTCAGAGGCCGTGCCACGCACACCAACCTCGTGCCCCGTGGCTACGATCTTGCTGCGCCATGTTGTTTCCCATCATGCTTGCGCGATCGTAACCCCTGGAATTGTGTTATTTAAAGTGCAAAATATGGCAAGATAATTAGGCTGCAGTTTATCCGTTTTACGCACCGACGCCTTCTTTAGAATGTTGAAAGTTGTGTTTTTGAAGAATCAATGCATTCAACACGGCTGTTCCAGCGCAAAATATAGGCGCCCTCTGTCGTTCTAATCGCGCCAGTCAAAAATCTCTGTATAATGACGTCATCAAGACTCTCTGTGGGTCGGGCCAAGCGAGTTTTATTTTATGAATATTTATATCTGAGAATCTTTGGTTATGTGATTGGTAGATGAATCGGTCAAAGTTCAAAATGTTTTTTATTCAAAAGTTTGTTATTTTCCCCTCATTTCCATATATCAGCTCATGAATATTAAATTACTAAAAACGGCTCAGGGCAAAACTGGTGTTCGGCCGAGCTGATTTCCGCGGTGTGCGGGTATGTGACAAATTTGTCACATTAAAAGGTGTTTCTCTCCAAACAAGAGGTTTTCTCCGATGTAAGGCCCACATCAACTTTGTTTTGGAGATACGTGCTGCATATGAGTTCGGTTTGAAGAACATTGTACACGCGTGTACAGCACGCATAGCCCTAGCGCCTGAAGGTTAGCGTCACCTCGACCGTTTGCGTGTACATGTACGTGTACGGGCACGCGTGCGGACCTCACCCGTGGTTCGTGCATGGACGGGCCCGGTGGGCGTGATATACATGTACACGACATGTCGTGTGTTGTGCTACAAGTACAACTTAATCATACATGGGAAAGATTTTCATACAATTACATCAAAAAGGCCTAAATTGGATGGTAAAACAATGTAAAATTAAAAAACAGTATGAATTATGAGTATGAGTACTATGAGTGACACTCACAGAAAAAGAGAGGAAAAACATTTCATTACAATTTGATTCCGACAGTCATGAATATGATGAAACTGAAAGTAGGTAGGCCTTAACATGTCTGACTACTCTTTTTTTATTGTTCATGCTACCTTTCGTGTTCGCAGAACTTATTCTGGAATGTTTGACGTTAAATTCATTTCAGGTTTTGCATGTTTATTCGGTCATGCTTAGCCAAATTCATGTCATTTTAATTTTCATGTAAACACATTACCTCAGCTTCAGCAGGGACATGTAAATGGGCACATTTTTTAATGAAGGGGTGTTGTTTCTGTGGGTTCCTGTTCCATACAAGTGTACCTTTTCTTTGGATCACAAAGCTTTCAAAAATGTTCAGCCAAGACTTTGCACAGGCTTACCTGTGCACCCCCCCCAATAAATAAATAATATAAATATAAGTAATATGAATATTGTTAATTGTTGTCATGACATGCATGATACATCATGTACATACATGCACCACTGCTTTAGTATAACATGTAGAGCTTGGAATGTATGGCTACATTTCTCCCATGCGATATGCCCCACCCCCACCCCGTAATAACAAAATTGTACATGTGATCCTGTTTTCTGAAGAAAGAAACAACATTTTGTTATGATTTTCCAGGAAGTTTGCAGTATCATTCTCCTGAGAAGAGGGTTCTTGTATCTTCTGGAGCTCAGGTGAGATGGTGGCGTGATGAGCCGTTGATTAGTCGTGATGAGCCGTACAGTGGAAGTGAACCTTTCATCCAACATTTGTGCATGGAGGATCAGGATTACACAGACATGAACATGTGTTGGGTGTACTTTTCGTAACTGAATGTGTGCAAAACTGTGTGATGCCATGTGCACTGTTAGATTTGAACAAAAAATGCGGTCTCCTGCACCGCCTTGGTCCGACACTGTGCATACATGATACATTCAGAACTTCCGAGTATTGTCTGCTTGCCAAGGAATCACTCTGGAATTGAGGTTTGGGATTCACACGTCACACATGATCACATGCGATGGACTGGTTCTCGCTCCCATAATATCAGACAGGTTAAAATGTTAATGCACATTAATGGCCATTGATTGCACAGAAAATAAATGCCGAGTCACAAGACTCATTTAGGTGAGTCATGATTTTGTCCGTGTAGTGAGACACTTTTGTACTTAAAGAGGTTGCTCGAAGACATTTCCTTCATTTTTCGGGTATATGAGGCCTAAGGTGTGATGAAATAAAAACGACTATTGTTTCTGTCATGAAATGAGTACAAAAGGTACTTTTGAGAGCTGTTTTTCAGATCCAGTTTCGACCCGAACTTGCAACTGTGTAAAAGTCGTCGTTGCGGGCAGCAAACAAAACACAGTAAATCGTGACGTAATAAACAGGACTCGTGTATGCTACTGTGATCATTCCAAATGTAAAGCAACACACCTGACATCATGCCTACTGCACACTATGTTTCCCTTTTTTTGCAATAATGTTCTGCGCTACCCGCCCCCCCCCCCCCCCCCCCGCAAAAAAAA